CGTATATTATTATGGGATACAAGATCGATGAAACAACCAATATATGAACATAACATCGGAGGTGGTGTATGGAGATTAAAATGGCATCCAAAGAAAGATTATTTATCGGCGGCCTGTATGCATAATGGATTTCATATAATTGAGGTTGACGGTGATAAAACTATGAGGACGGCTTGTAGTTTTACAAAACATGAATCCCTCGCTTACGGAATCGATTGGAATTATTCTGATAAATGGAAAATTGAAAAATCATCATATCCATTACTTGCGAGCTGTTCTTTTTATGATCATGTCGTGCATCTTTGGTAACATGATTATCTACAATTATTGAACTCGTGAATAATTATAATAAAACTTAATCATTTGTGATACAATCAAAAAAAGACGCAAGTCCCGTCGTTGAACCTCTTTTTATTGAAACGTGAAAAAGGAAAACTTACATGCAATTAATCATCTTGAAAAAGGGTTTGGATCGGGAACTATCCATGTCTCATATGATCCAAATACAATGGGTATTAATAACCGGAATTTAAATAGGAATTATTAACAAGTGTAACCTATGTTACTTGAATGTTTACAATCGAAGTAATCGAACTGAATTAAAACAATAACAAAACTTTACACATTGTTATTTGACATTTCATTTGCATAAATTTGTCTTATGTAAATCATTTCGTAAGATCATTTACGTATAACGTAAGATTTTTAAAATCGTAATTTTAGAAAGAAAAAAAATATTAAATAAAACTTTTAATTCGATTTTTTGTGTATCGAATTTACCGTAAACAAAATAAAAATCTAGTAAAAATATAAACGAAAGGAAATTTTATTCAGATCGACAAAAAAAATTTTTTTTTTTCTCTCTTGTGTAAATAAATATTTACGTATTCTCGTTTCACAGAAATTTTTTTAAAGTTATTTGTGAGAACTATAAAATAGATCAAAATTCTTGCGAAAAGAAATTTTTTTTGTGGTTTAATCCAATTAATCCACCAAAATTAAAGATGTATATTTTTCTTGAAATAATGAGGCACCAAACAATTAAAAGGAATCGTTCTTTTAATGCCTTATCATGAATTCAAGGTTGAAAGATTAAAGGTAAATAAATATCCTTTTCTTAATTGATGAGCACAATCTACACCAAAATTACTAACAATTGAAGATATTTGTTAATTTCTAGTTCTTCTAAATAAACAAAATCGAGCTCGATCTTTTTTTTTTTTTATTTCTTATCGTTCTATACAGTTATCGTACAACTGGATTCCTTTTTTTTATTTTTCGTTTTTAATCGGAACTTTTTCCTTTAACTCGAGTTCAATTATGTAAATGATCAATTTATATCTTACTAAGCATAAAATATTTGCAAATTTCATTAGAATTATAATCACGATGGTTTAAACCAAATCAAGTCAAAATCAGTTATTTATCAGTTCTTTCTTCGTTTTATTATTAATTGGAAGTTTATCATTATGTATGTATGAATCAATTGAATCTAATAAAAAATTATTACAATTTAAGACACACAATTCATGCATCATATGCCATTAAAAAAAAAAGATTTTACATGCATGATTTGATTGTTTTTTTGTTCTAGTTGATTTATATTTCTCGCGCAGCAAACTATTAAACTGTTGAACTTTAGGCAGTGGCTTGCAGCCCCTGCTACTTATGTTAAGGATGTGCAGCATTTAATTGGTTACAGAAGTTGTATTACTTTTATTGCTCTTTTTATATTCTTTCAAAAATGTCAAATTACTAATATAACATAATAATAATAAATTTTTCTTCGGTAAAGTCATATGTAACATACATCGAATGATTTTATGGCCACTTAAAGGGTAGTCCTGTATCGTAAAAAATATTTAATTGTTGCACAATGTAAAACAAAAAAAAATCACTTACAAAACTTTACCAGTGTATTTGTCAATTTGAAAGGAATCTAATAAATATCGATATCGTAAATAATTAATTGAATGGGCATTAAACAAAATAACTGACGGTAAATACTTTTCTCACCACGTGCAAAATTTTCGAGATGAGTATTTTGATTTGATGTAAAATCATTAATAACTTCCGGAAGTTGTAAGGGACGACTCGTGTAATGGGCATTTGGATGGTGGTTCGTATAAGGTATGTTTGGATTATTTAATAATTTCTTTTTTTTCCAGTCATCAGCGGCCTTGAAATCAGAATAACATTCCGTGGGTCTCTTCTGAGAAAATTCCTGTTTAATGAAAGAAATATTATCATACCAATCCGTCAAATTTCAATCTCTAAATTCATTCGATAATTACCATATGCCAATACTTGAGAGTATTATAGACCTCTTCCGCTGTGGGCCTTTTGGAAGGGTTAGCGTCCCAGCATAATTTCATAAACCTCGCAAAAGTTCGTGGAGTTCCTTCCAGAATATTTGGTCTTAGACCATGAAAAATTTCCAAGGCTAAATTCGTATCATGAGATCGATCGTACAATGGAGGGAGATAGGTACACATTTCCCACATTATAAAGGCAAAACTATAAATATCGGATTCCTTTGTATATACTTTGGTGCGTAAAACTTCGGGTGATACGTAAGGTAAAACACCATAAATTTCTTCCTTTTCATCGAATTTATCAACGGGACGACAAAGACCCAAATCTCCAATGAAAGGGATTTCTTCATGTAATAAAATATTATTGCTGTGAAGATTTTTATGTATTAATCCTAATGCATGCAAGCTCTTTAACCCTCCCGCTATATATTGTAATATAAGTAACTTTCTATCCCATGTTATGGTTGAATAATTTTTTTTCAAGTAATTTCGAAGATTTCCATTATTTGCAAATTGCATTATGATTACATATTTTTGAGTTGTTGGATTTTTCGAGATTCCTAAAATTCTATTTAAATGGTTTTTGACGTGTGATGGAATAGCTGGGCGGGTTCGAAGGGATGGCATCATCTAAAGAAATATTTATGCATTCACTAATTAATAATAATGATAATAATCGTAAAAACCTTTATCGGGAATGATCTGTTGGAATACCTCTTTGAAGAATTCCGCGGTTATGTTTCTCGAGTTGTCCAAAATTTTTACGGCAACTTGCGTCGCTCCGTGCCTTTCCCACCTTTGTCGTAAATAATTCCATCCAATTCTTAAATCTATTTGACCTTCAGTCCAAGTTGCTTTTTGCACATTTCCGAATCCACCTTTACCAATCATTTTAAAACCCGTTAATCGATCATAAGGTATCCATTCTAAAACTCGATTTCTTGAAGAAGCGTTAATTTGTATGTTTCTTATGAATTTATCGATATCTCGGTTTCCACTTGACCATTTTGTAAAACATATTATGAAATGTTTCGAATTGCAAGTCTGACACCAATTATAACTAGTATTACATTCCCCACAATCTAGACATTTTCCGTAATCCATAACTTTTCTATACACTGAAATCAGTATCGCACGGGATTTCTTCGCTCTACTTTTCTTACTTCTCTTGTGAGTTAAATCTGCCATGTTTTATTGTTATTAAGAGAAAGATTTTTTTAAGCTTTTTGCACTTTTTTCGATGCAACGCATAAAGATGGTTTTTGAAGGAAATCTTATTTAAATTTTTAAATTGAAAATCCGTCTTTTAATATTTTTTTATTTTGTTTTAAATTCTCACATGGCATTTCTGAAAATCAAATGTCTTTTTCAATATTAAGATGGAAAAAAATTTTATTATGAAATTATCAAATGAATTTTTTTATTATAAAAATTTTTTTATTAAGGAAATCAAGTTTTTTTTTCTTGATTAATTAAATATTTTAAATGGAGCTACGTTTAATAAATAATAAAACTTTTTTTTAAAAAAAATTTTTTTTATATGGTAACGTGAAAATTATAAGAATGCCCTAACGTTTCGCTATTTATTTATTGGTTTCGTATTTAGCTTGACCTTTGATCCTGTCACCTTTTCCTTCAGCTTCATATCGTGGATCTCCTGTAACTTGGCCAACTTTTTCCTTTGTGGCCCCTTTTACTTTATCGGTAGTACCTCCAGCGACATTTCCGGCTTTTGCGGTTTCTACTTGTTGATTTCCGGTTCTACGTTCATGAGCACCGGATTGTTCAAGCGAGGGTTTGTTTAAAGCTGACCCTAATGTTTCTTTTACTGCGCCTTTTACGGCGTGAAGTTGACCTGTTGTTTTGGAAGGTCCTTTCTCTTTATTGGTTTCAGCTGCATTATATTCAGCATTTCCTCTTTCTTTGTTTTCCATGCCTTGAGCTTGATAATTTTCGGAGCCGATGGCTTTTCCAACTAAAAAAATCATGAGTAAAAAAAGGTTATAAACTACAAAAATATCCAATTAATTTTATTCAACATTTTTAATAGATATCTACCATTATCTTTTACGGCGCCACTATCATATTCAGCATTTGCTTGAGTTTTGCTTGGTTGTTGAGACATTTTTAAGACTTTTTTTTTTTGATGAATAAAAATTTTTTTGATGATAATTTTTTTGATTTTCTTTAGAAATGTGAAAAAACGTCGTTGCTTTTATAAAGTTCAGTGGTCAAGCTCTAACGCTTATTTGATAGATGATATCACACGAGCGGGTGTCATATATACGTACGGGTCGTATCATAATTTCATCATAACACAGGCCGATCGGTTAGTGACCACTTATTCTTTAGTATTCCTAAAGGGAACATGTACTTTCGTCATTGGTTTAATAATCAAGACATTTTGTTAAATTTGTTATTATTTTAAACCTTATATTTTTTTAGAGGAATTTTATAGCCAACTAATAATAATAAAGATTATTACATCATAGCTTGTTGGCCATTTTGCTCTCGAACTAATATTTTTATAAAATCAGGTTATCCGTTTCGTTTATTATTAGATCTAAGGTTTAATGTTTAAGTACGGTAATTATTGTCAATTATAATTTTCTAAGATCAAGAGGATCCAAGTTCCACATTCGTTCGATTCTTATAGTGGAAGTTACCTTATCAACTTTTATCAGTATCACTAGAAAATTTTCATACACGTAATTTTTTTGGCCGGCATTATAAGGATTGCTTAATCACATTAATTAAAAAAAAAAACAATTACAAAATATGCAAAAATTTGATAATATGGGAAGATTAGATTCCGCATTTGAGTTTTTTGATTCTAGTACGAATTGGAAAATCAATTTTGGTGTGTAAAAAAAAAAATTAAATTTCACCAGGAAATGTATTAATGTTTCTGTATGAACTTCGCTAATATATTCGAATTTTTTAAAATATCGCAATGCAATAGTTGCCTTAAATATTTCGCTTCCAATCCTAATACGTTCATATTGGTTTATATTTGGCGAAATAACAATATAATCTTTTGTACTTTCTTTGAAAATTAACCTTTTAGAAACACTGATAATTGTCACAAATTCTCATTCATATGAGGCATTATAATATTGAACTAAAAGGTCATAGATATCGTCTGGTAGAAATACATGATTTTTTCTTGAAGCATTTCTTCAGGAAATACCTTACTTCTGATTATGGTAACATCCAATTCGTTTCAGAAGATTTAACTAAATTGGTATAATTCAGCGAATCCATCATACATCACTAAACTTCTAGCTGTAGAACCAATTTACCGTATTTTACCGAAAATAATCACATCCCGAAAATAAGCACATTTGTAAAATTTATTGTAAAAAAATTAAACAGACATATTATAAATGCGAAATAATGTTTACAATAAAAGAAATAAGCTATTGTAACTTGTTAAATGTATTATTGCTAATAAATTTTGTCATCAGTTTCACATTACCAATTCCTCAATTTCTGATTCTACTATATCGAATATCAACATAAACTTCTGATCTATTAGTTTCGATTTCTGATTCCTCCTCATCTTTATTAGAATTTACTGGTGAATCTGTTACACAAAACTTCTTAAAAGATTTTAAAAATAATTTCCTCAGAGATTTTCTCCAATGATCACTTAACCTAACTGCATACATCACTTACTTTAGCATGCAAAAGGTTTCTGTTAGCAGTATTTCCAGCACTGCTACTTGCTATCTACAGATGCCACTCTTTGCAAAGGTTATCCTTAAATGACTAATTGATTGCAACATCAAAAGGCTGGCAGATACTTGTTAATTTGTCAGGAATGACTGCTAAATAAATGTTACTTTTGCGAAACTTATTTTTGATCGATCCTTCTAGGTGGTCTTTGAACAAATCATATACTAACATTGTTGGATCTTTAAGTCTATTATTATTAAAATAATTAATGTATGTCTTCATCAGGTTAATCAATCCATCTGTTCTTCTGAAACCAAACGATCACACCAGAAGGAATTTTTTTATCAAGTGCTAATCTCTTTTTCTTAAATATAAACCCTTACCAAAAATTTCTGGATATCATCTTTTAGGAACTATTTCATACTGATTATATCATATAACTGTATAAAACTATGGTTATGTAATGTTTTAAACATTTTTTATTTGAATTAAACTAAATAAATGTATGTTTGGTTTATTTATCTTTTGGAATAATGAAAATGTCTAAAGAATTAACAATAGAACAACACAATGATATAATTTTTTATCATCAATATAGTGATAATTATTGAACTATTGCCACAAATATCAGTTATAAAAAATTAACAGTTTTTGAAATTTTAAAAAATGGATAATACTAAAACTGTTAATTCTAAGCCTTATTCTAGTTGACTACTCTTTATTAAAAATTTAAGATGAAGCTGACTTAAACAAATTGTTATCAATGATAAAGAAAAAATCATTGCTTATGCATTGCAGAAGTACAATAACACTGGCAAAAAAGACTAGCCAAGATTTCAACTTGTACTATTAATCAAACACTTTATGCAATTATATTAAACAATTTTTTTGCTTAATGAAAGCCTTTAATCATACTAGTAAAATATTGAAATACGTATTGCATAGTATTTGAAATACTAAAATTAGACAAAGAATGATTATTCAAAGGTCATGTGAAGTGATAAATTTACTTTTTCATAATTCTAACAAAACAGTTATAGTTGAGTGTAATGTGAATCTTATAAAAATAGAATATTTATTATATTTCTGTTACAATAAAATATAACCCTAGCTAAATGTTTTTTTAAGATAAGGCTTAGGACTGATTATTTCATTATTTAGAACAGTTACTAGTGTTATAAATATCACTATTCTTTATAAGTATGTTATGCTAATTATGAAATATGTATTTTCAAATTATGATGATATTTTCTAAAAAAATAATGCTTGCCCTTACAAAATAAAATTTGCAAAAAAGTTTTATGAGAAAAATAATTTGCATATCTTTTATAACCCATTTAAGTTCAAATTTTAATCTTATTGAGAATCTATAGGTGAAAGTCAAGAAAAGCATATGTGAAAGAAAAAATTTGCCTTTTAACCTTACTCAACTTGATCAATATATTATAAGGGAATAGAAACAAATTCTGATACAAATTATCAAAAATTTGATTAATAGTATATCACAGTAAATTTAGGCTATGATTAAAGCAAATAAAGATCTGATTAAGTATTAATTATTTAGTATTAATATATAGTATATTATATTTTAATAAATATATTAATAAATTTTTTTAATAAAATTTAAAAATTCTAAGTTTTATATTGAATCAAAAAATATCCAGAAATTTTTGACAAGGTCTGTATACAAATAGAAGATAATTTAGTTTCATTTTATTAAGTAAATTCAAATTTAATAAAATTAAAACTTATAAAATTTACAGAATTTACTAAAATTTATAAAAAATTTCAAATAAAAATAAGATTTTCAAATTTATTAATAACATATAAAAATAATTGTAATCAATTTTTTTCATTTTTTGTTTTAAGAATATATATTATTTTACCTTTTTAATTAACTATAAAATTATCTGCTATATTAAATTAATAAGCATTTTATTCATATTATAGATATTATATATTTCAAAGATTTTTTATTCTAAGTTAGATGACAAATCTATTAAAATTCTCTAGCAATTCTTTAGTATATTTTAGAAGTTTTTGAGATATTTTTATATATCAGCATAATACTGGTCTATATCTTTTCAAAAATTTATATAACTAGCTAAGTAATATCTTAAAATTATTTATTAAATCATAATAATTATTCTACTTAGTTCACTTAAATTTTCTTTATTTTATTTTATATTATTAAATAAATTACAATTAATTCTTACTTCTATTACCTAATAATCTAATTATAAAAACTTTTCAGCTTCAAAATATAAAGCTTTTTAAATAAAACTAATTTTCTTTTTTACTACTTTTCTTAGTTATACAATTTTTGCTTGCTTTAACCTAACGTTTGACAATATTAATATTAATATTAAAGTATTTTGCTACTATACATTTATCATGTTAATTTGCATAATTAAATAACTTTTTTTTTTTGAATAGAATATGAAGTTTTTTTAACCTTTATAATAACTTATTTATATTTTTTTACATTATTTATATTAATAGATTTAAACAGATTTCACATATCATTAACTAAAAAAATATAATAATTATCAAATAAGATTTAATATAGTTTTATAAAAATCACATTATAGATTTGAATTATTTAAAAAAATAAGTATCTCTATAGTAAAAAAGGTTTATTTATTTTAGTAAAATACAGTAATTGCTCATATAACTTATTAGATTGATTAGAAAGAATTAACTTGTTTAATTTAACAGTTTGATTAGATTATATATAGAAGTTTTAGTTCAATATTTCTTTTACTACTTGAATAAAGCTTTTAGAATATTTTAGTATTAAATTTCACATTTTTATATAACGATAATATAAATTAGTATAATAATTTACATAATAATCTATTCATTTTTTTAAATAAAAGAATATAATAAGCTATAATCTTTGTAATATTCAGTAAGATAAAGTGATAGTTGAATACTAATCATAATGCTTATCAATTAAATGAACTATTTAAAGTAATTAGTTATAAATTTCATTTAACATATTATTATTAATAATTTTACAAACAAGTAAGAAACAAGCTTTTACAAAATTAGCTAAAATTTTCTGATTAGTGATATTTAAAAGATCCTATACTATTAGAATTATATAAATAAAATAAAAAACTTTCATTATCAACTATAAAATTAGAAAATACCTCTTCAATTGAAATTTTATTTGAAATTCTTTTCATATTAGTTAGTAATTAATTTATTTTACTTGATTT